ATGTACCATGTTACATCCTTCTCGGCCACTTTATGAACTCTTTGGGTGTGTGTCGAGCGACCTTTCTTACCCCAAACTATTTTACAGCTACAGCCTCGACTTAACTTGGCTAGACTCCACTGAACTCAGCTCGGATCGGCTCGGCCCCCATCCCCCCATCCCCACTCAGCTATGCCACAGCCGCCGCCTTCTGTGCATAAATCTCAATTGTGTGGCATGTTCGTGCAAATGTTTTACTACACATAGAATTGAGCTTTTTTGTCTGGGTTATTAGCTATGTTAACATGTCCGTGCTCAGACACATGTATAGTATAGCTGTATGTGTGTGTGTGTGTGTGTGTGAACAACAATGTTTGTCTCCTTTAGGACACCCCTGCCTCAGACTTCAGGCATTGGATAGTTTACATTTCTCGCCCACCGATGACAAGAAAATACAGCATCAGTCTGGCGATAAAGTTCAACTTTCCCTCAACTACTCGTATAAATAACATGTGGACGCATTCATTTTAAATTCAAAATAATAATGTAAAGGTCGATTAGGTCGATTTTGGCCAACTCTGGGTTGCTAAAATACAGTTATCCCAGTCGGCTGCACCCTAAAACATACCTCAATGGCTATGATGCAGAATTAAACTCTAAGGAGCTGGTAAGGAAGATTTCGTTGCTTAGGTTTGGGTAAAAATGTCAATTAAACAAGTTTAATAAAAACAAACATCTCACTTCTTTTAAACAAATAATATTAATCTAAATTTTACTCTAATGAGATTTAAAAGAGAACTCTTAGCAATTTATCTTTTCAGTATCGACACAAATTTGCAATACACTTATTTTCTCCGTATTGATAATCCTGTTTTGCTTTAACATTGAAGCAAAAAGAATAAAGAAGTTCTGAGCCATTAAAGTTCTATACACATTCCATGTATATGTGTATGCCCCAGTGCCTTTACAACTTTCGCAACAAAAAATCGACGTGTGCATAAAATGTGCAAAAATTGAACCTAAAAGCCACCCATGACGATAAAAATTCTCGACTAACGCCGAGAGTTTCGTGGCGACAAGGCTTGTGTAAAACATGTTCCCTTTACAGGACGAAAAAAAAGTACCTGTACATTAGTGTGAGGTTTGGTTGCTTAGCGAAAAAATTTAAAAGCAGATTTTTAAATGCATTAAAATAGGTTTGGATTCGATTTTGAAAACTTGGGTTTGGCTTGGTAGCTTAAATTCATTTTTAATTTAAAAAACTCTTCAAAAAAGTGCTGGCAGAGCCTAAGCCAGTTCCAGATTCAATTGACGATTTGAAAGTTAAAGTGTGGACAGATCAACTTCTAAATTTGGGGATTATGTAGGATTATAGAAAATTATAAAATGTTGCAAAGAGTTCAAATTGTGGGAAGGCCTTTAAAGGATATGACAATATTTGATTACTTTATTTACTCGTTCATACAAGTATGTACATATAAGCATGGTCCAAACTATATAACAACGCTTCAATGTACTCGATGTGATATGGTTTCAAAGATAGGATATGCTTTTAATAAAATCATTGAAAAGCTGCTTTTTACTGCTCCAATGCCTGGCCCACCCCCCAGGCGACCACTTGCCTCGTCCTTCGTCGCTCGTCCCTCGCCGCCTTGACATCTTAGAGTAAGCTCATTAAGTCGTGGTTCTGCCACGGAGATGCCTTTTTTTCGTACCATTCCTCCATCGCCTGTGAATGTTCTTGTCTTTGTCGTTATACTTGTATTTGCTTTTGGTCTTGCCTGCTGCATTGGCTATATCTAGTTTATTTGTGGGGGGTGTGGGGAGGGGACGGCTTACAAAACGTACATTTATGTGTACATGTATAGTATATGGGTATAGGGACAGATGTGTGAATGTGTGTTTGTGTGTGTGGGTATGCGTACTCGGTTTTTATGAACTACCATGTACATTTAGTAAGTGATACATACATAATTGTAGTTTGTTAGTTAGCATATGCTCGATATACATATTGGTATGTAGTATATAGTATATACTTAGATATGTGGGTTTAGGTATATTACGTGGGCATATGGGTATATTGCACATATATTGTATACAGCACGTGCATATATACTATATGTTATACATACTTGTAAATGGTAGAAATATGTAATTTGCTGGTGTGCTTGTTTATATTTTTTAAGTGGTTGGCAACTAGCACCAACACAAAGAGCAGCTAACAGCTTTTTATAGAAGGTTCATTCAGTAATTTGCTTGATATTATCATTGATGTTGCTGTTCTTGTTTTTGTTGTTGCTGTTCTTGTTTTTGTTGGTACTAATAATATTTCTGTTACTGCTCTTCAGCATTCCCTGTAAACGTTTGTTTTTGTTTGTTTTCCTTGCCATCAAAAATGTTATTGCCAATTTTACGTTAATATTCTTCTTCCTTAGGTGAAATTTCATCAATCGTTTTAATGTGATTTTCCCATTACGGCTGTATATACTTGTAGTATATATTTTGTAGTTCTTGTTCTTTTCGTGTCATGCATATTGAATTTGAATATGGATTAGCATTCGAGTTTCAAAATCCTAAACAAATGCGATAAACAAATCAAAAATGTCGCATATTTATTTGGTTTTTGTGCATGATATCTACTCTAGATATGTATGTTTTACTTTCCTTCTTTTTATAGCCTGTACCCAAAGGGTGAAAGGCTATACTAGTTTTGTGCGCATGTATGTAACACACAGAAGGAGGCGTGGCAGACCCCACAAAGTATATATATTCTTGATCAGGATGAGAAGCCGAGTCGATATAGCCTTGTCCGTCCGTCCGTCCGTCTGTCCGTCTGTCTGTCCGTCTGTCCGTCTGTCCGTCTGTCCGTCTGTCCGTATGAACGCAAGGATCTCAGAAAGTATAAGAGCTAGAATAACCAAACTTGGTTTCCATATTCTCCTAAGACCGAGAAAGTACGAGTTTGAGTTTTTTTTCGATGCACCCCCCCACTCCCCCGCAATTCGTGTTTTTTCTTATAACTTCCGTAATTCTCGGAATTTTGAAATCAATTTTGGTAGGTACATCCAGTTAGTACTAATGTGTCCGTGTGCCAAATTTCATCATGATAGGTCAATTCTGAAGAAAGTTATAGCCATAAGTAAAATCGCTGCTCATGCGCTGCCTCTGTCGGCAGCGCTGCCCGCAGCTGTTGTTGTTGTTGCTGCTTTGGTTCAACTTTGTGCTGCATACATACACGCATATAAACACGCATAGGTACGTGATGTAAATGTATGCTGTTAAAACTAAACATAAACATATATTCTAATTTAATTTAATTAATTAATTCATTAATTTTTTTTAATAATTTAATTTTTTTTTTAAATTTTTTTTTTTTAATTTTTCTTTTTTTGTGGAGAGTACAGGCTATTTTACTGTCGGGCTTGCTCGACTGTAGCGTTCTATCTTGTTTTTATTCTTTATTAGTTTTGCTGGCCTTGGCTATTCAATTTAATTGAAAAGTGATGGGGTTTTTGTTTACGATTTCTTGTTTGCTGGTAGTACATAGCTTTATGTTTTTGGTTTATACTCCCATGAAACCAGGCGTAAAATTTGAAATAATCAAAAATAAAGATAAAGAGTAATCAACGTTTTCATAATTCAATTTCATGTGCAACGTTTGTGGCCTTACACCATTTGCTTTCATTATTATTGTTATTATTTTGTATTATTTGTATGTTCGGGTTGCCGCCGTTTGGCAATTGAAGTTGTTTGATTTATTTCTCATGCATTTGTTCTATTTTCCTTGTGTTCGGTTTTGTTTTTATTAAACAGTTGCCGTTTTGCCAAAAATTATTGTCCGCATTGCATTGACAAACGACGCGACGAGCACCAAAGAATTAAACTACCTACTATGTGAGTGCGTGTGTGTGTGTCCTTGAAGGTTGGATGTACATAGTACACATTAATAGGTATGTGGAGTTATGCCAGAGTATCCTCTGAATGAGGGTTTCGATATTTATCAACAATTTGCGTTTAAAATTTCTTTCTTTCTTTCTTTAAAATTATTGCATTAAAAAGCACAGGGACAATATTTTGATTATGTCAGTGCAAAAAAAAAATATACAGCACGTCCTTTAATAAGCATCCTATATAGTTTACAGAAGAAGACATAATTGAATATGTTCCCTACGTCCCAGTTGTCGCTCAGTTGTTATATGCCTTAGAATGATTTCTGATTTGCTTACCAACCCCATTAAAATCTATTCAGTCGCTTTAATTAAATTGCAGAGCCTTCAACAATTTAGCTGTGTCTCAGTTTCGATTTATTTTCAGTGCCACTCCTCCGCAATTGCTGTAATTATTTATCAGTGCATTTCCTTGAGGACCACAAGGACTCTCAGTTGACTAGCTACCAGGGCTTGGAGCAAGAATTAAAAAAAGAAGAAATTAAGTACAAATAGGGGTAAGTTGTTTCTATTTCAAAAATTCCCAAAACTGTAGCATTCTTTTTTAGATATTCTGAATAATACATTTCAAGTGTGTTCTATATACTTCTATATACGAGTATACAGGACACATGTTTGATGATACAGACAAGCGAGAACGGATCACCAAAGAGAGGCAACACACAGACTGTTGAAAAGTATAGAATGTATTATTTATTTATGTATGAAATACACATATGTATTATTAAATACACATATATAGACACACACATACACGCACACACATATCGTTTGGCATTTGCTTGGTCGCAATTTTTGATTTGTTTCGTTGTTTTTTTTTTTTTTAATTTTGTTGGTTTTTTTTTAGGAAATATGCAGATCAAAAAGAATTTCGGTTTTTAAATTGGCGCATTGAGTATCCGCCGCTTGAGCCCAAATGGGCAATTATCCCACAGAGGCAACGCTTCTCTACTGCTCTCTGAACACTACACATTTTCCCAACGCTCCCTGCTCTGTATATACAATTCTGCCCCGCATGCCCAATCAGTCTATGCCTCACTTAACTATCGTATCTTCTGCCTGGTCGCCTCTTCCTTAGATGACAAACAAATCGCTGCAGCTGGACGAGTTGCGTCGCTTCATGTTGATGGACTTCTTGAAGCGCAGCACCGATGACAAGAAGACCTTGGTGCGAGCCGTCAACTTGTTCACCACCTTGCGATTGCAGTCGCTGCGCCCACTAGCCCCCTCGCCTAGCTGTGCATCGTCCAAGGTGCGCGCATTCCTCTGCTGAAGTGCTGCTGCTGCTGCAGCCGCTTGAGCGGATGTAGAGGGCCCGTTGTCATAGGAATGCCTATTCTTGGAGGCGGCATTCGTATTGCAGAAGGGCGAGCGATTCCGCATGCCAGCGGCCAACATCTCGAACTTACTCTTGGGATTCCCCCCACTTGAGCTGCCGCCGCCACTAGCAGCGTGTGTCTGAAGGCGTTGGGCCTCAGCCTCTTCGTCCTCTAGCTCGCTCTCGCCCATCTTTAGTATACTCTCCAGATTGAGGGTGCGACGATTTTGCTTACGCACCTGACCACGTCCGTTCTTAGTCTCGGCGCCATTTTCGGGCACACCACCCACCGCACCCTCCTCGCCCTCGTCGTAGTCCAGCTCGCCGTGAAGCTCGTCGCCAGCCTCGTCTCCATAATCGTCGGGATCACCGTCGTCTCCCTGACACATGGACATCTGTCGCACAATCCGACGAGTTGGCATATGCATGCGTCGATGCTTTTGGATGGTGCTTTGTAAATTCAAGCGTTGTCGGTCCCGTTCGCTCAGCAGGCGTATGCGTTGCGGATTAAGCTTCACTTGCGCCACAATCCCCACCAGCAGCTCGTCGACATTGTGATCTAGGCCCGAGGAAGTCTCAATAAACTTACACGCTATCTCCTTAGCCACTTTACGACCCACTGCAAAAAAGTAGAGTGAGGCAAAAGTAGGTTTGAGAAGTGCGGAGGACAGCTCTTAAAACAATAATATAATATTATAATTTGAATTTATTTGGGGACGAGTGTGCATAAATTTAGGAATTCTATCTGCCATAAATTATGATATAATATATAATCGATCAAAAAATAAGCAGCACATCTGATGAAGAGTGCGATTAAAATGCACTAAATTAAAGCTCCGTCTAGTTTGTAACTTTGTAACATTTTAGTTTAAATTTATTTTCGAATAAAAGTAGAGTGAGGTAATGGTAGTTTTGAGAAGGGCGGAGGACAGCTCTTAAAACCATAATTTATAAGTTGAATTCATTTGGGGACGAGTGTGCATAAATTTAGGAATTCTATCTGGCATAAATTATGATATAATATACAATCGATCAAAAAATGAGCAGCACATCTGATGAAGAGTGCGATTAAAATGCACTAAACTAAAGGACCGCCTAGTTTGTAAATTTGTTACATTTTACTTTAAATTTATTTAACCAACAACCTCGCAGTTGCAAGTTCGACTTTGACTCTGTCTCCATGGTTACAGTCAAGAGTTTGGTGGGGTGGATGGGGTGATGGGCAGAGCTGTCTGGATAACTACTTACTTTGTCGGGGCACCTCGCGATGTCGTTCCAAATCCGTCTTGTTGCCCACCAAAATGGCGCCACGCGTCAAAAGCATTTCGTTCTCCTTCAAATACTGCAGGACCTTCTCGGCGGCCTTGAAAGTGCTGCGGTCCACCACCGAGTAAACGACGACGAACAGGTCAATGTTATAGGTGGCACAGAAAGCCTCGGTCTGTGTTGAATGGCAAGTGTCGCATGCCAAGTAGCACGAGCATCAAAGTGCCAAGCAGCGCGGGGCAGGTGGGGAAACGTGAAATGGAAAATGGCGTTAAAAGCGAACGTGTTAGTAAGAGCATTAGACAAATGTTGTGGTGCTGTCAACTAGTGGCTAACTGTCTGACTAGCTGCTGTTTTGTGTCTTTAAACGTGCTCTGTCGCCCCGTCGCCCCGTCTTGTCCAATGTAATGCAGTTAAGTATGCAACGCAAAAAGCGTGCTAATGAAATTTGCGCCACATGCGGGTGCCACATCGACAGCACCAGAACCACCACCAGCAGCAGCAGCAGCACAAAACGACGCAAGCTCTGACACATGAGCAGCCGGAGCCGCATCCACTTGGAAAAAACACATACATACATACACATACGTACACACAACTGCAACAGTTGCCGCTAACAATGTAATATACTGTGGCCTTTTTGCCACACACACATGCCACACACACACACACACACACACGCACACGCACACATTCATGCATACATACAAACAAGAAGTGTTAATGACATTTGACAAAAGTGTCACCGAACAGCAGCCAGAGCAGTTGCAGCCTGACCTCCAAACGGTAGCTGTGTAGGTGTGTGTGGGTGTGTTAGTTTGTGTGTGTGCGTATGTGTGTATGTGTGTGCGTGTGTGTGTGTGCGCTCAATAAAACATGCAACAGCACTTGACCCACAACTAGACAAGGCTTGACCTACTCAGCCAGTCAGGCAGCTGTCATAAGCCATCATCAATGGGCTGCACACACACACACACACACACAAACGCACACTAACACACACACTCACACGCACATATGTGTAGTACGAGCATACGCCTAGAAGCATGCACTACTTACCGACATTTCACAAGCTGGATGATCAATAATTTCCAAATCCGTTTCAATGCCATCGACCAGCACTGAAACCGTTTTCTGTCCATAATCATCGTCTGTTGCAAAGGAAGACAAAAAAAAAAAAAGAAAGAAAGGAAAAAGGAAAAGACAGAGCGTATTAAACCGCTAGAGAATACCTATGTGTACATATGAAAGGGACGTTTGTTCGAAGGCGTGTTAAGTTAAGTGCCTGTGGGTTAATGTGTGTAAATATTATTATATGATTTGGCCATGTGCAGCAGCACTCAAGCCGCAGGTGGCGCTCAATGGGGCTTGGTGGGCGCCCAGTTAGCAGCAGCCAACAACAATAATAATTCCCTCTTTTTTGTGTCATTAAAATCATCGGTTTTTCTTTTCATCTGTTTGGCTCTCAATTCAATTCAATTTGCGGTGAATGCAATCGATCGATGTGCTGCGAAAAGCGGCAGTTGGGGGCATAATGGTGGGCCACAGATTTTATTTCTGCATGCTGAGTCATTAAATTTAAGGTCCTTTGTTTATGGCAATCTGATAAAAAGAAAGTTCGAAAATGGCGTCTCAGCTTAACTTTTGATGAGCTTCGACAGCTGTGTGACATATGACGAGAAGTTTACAGCAGTTCTGAACCAAACATTAAACTCAGCAACTCAACTCATAAGCGTACACTTTGGAACTCTTTATTGGCAAACTTATTACTATTATTATTTAGCGCACTTATTAATAAATCAGTTAAGTAGAAACAATCTCCACAGTTTAATTATTTAAAACTTTGCTGATAGAGCGTGTATATCTGGGCTATTTCGGTTTCGTCGGTGACCTTTTCGTTCCACTGAACTATTTCCGTCCAAAGGCTGGCTTACTCAATTCTCCATATTTATCACCTTGAAGTTCTAATTTAAATTACTGCAAGTATGTCAGTGCAACAGCTCCTCATTATAAGAGCACTTGAGAGTCAGTGATTTGATGGCTACTCTATCTATATTAGAATGTTGTGGTCGGTCAGTGTTTGGTTGGGTCAGTGTGGTTCGTGATGCCCCACTAATTAAATTCCCATATATGTATGTATTTTCAAATGGAAACAAGAGAGAACGTTACAGTCAAGCCTGCTTAACGGTGAAATACCCTGTATCCCCAAAAATGTACTGTTTTAAATGCGCTAATAGCAGAATTGTTCCGCTAATTGTACGATTTCGGTGAAATTTTAAACAAAAGTTGTGACTTAGAAGAATCTAAATATCGAATTTGGTCAATGTAGGCGGAAATTGGATGGACATGTCTAGATCGATTTGTAATATTTAAGTATACTTTATACGGTACAGCGTATAAAAAGTAATATCAAAATATGTATATACTTGTAATTTACCATTATGAAAATTATGTTATAGTTATCACATTAGCGGGAAAACCAAAACGACTTCTATATATAGTATATAGAATCTCACGAAACAGGACTTTTCAATCGACGTCTGCAATAATAAGATACATCTTTTAACTGTTTTTGTAATTTCATTTTATTAAGCCGAAAATTGGGGTAAGAATAATGGCTAATGCATGATTAGCTGAACTGAGCAAAGAATATAACAAATTCTAAGATGCACATAATGATGTGTGGTTGGGTATGAAAAGTTTAGGGCGATATTAATAGCTCATCTGGGAGGTGCCTGGGCAGTCGGTTGCGGTCTGGTCTTAATCGCTCGTTGTAACGATTGGTCTTTTAACGACATCTCATCAAAACTTCAGAACAAAATAACACTACGCTTTAGACTATCATGTTCTGTTTGAAACGCGATGCGGATTTTCATTTATCTCGTGAATGATGACGAAATTCTTAACTACCAAAGTGCAGTCGAAAAAATAAAATTAAATTAAAATTATGAAGAATCAATCGAAATCTTTAATTAAGTTCAAGGGAAATTGAATGAAATTTCTCAAAATCAACGATTAACTTCATTTTTATAGCTCATCAGTGAGTTTCCTGACAACCAAAACAATAAAGATTGCTCACCATTTTCACAATTGAAATACCTCATTAAGGAGTCGAAAAAAGAGAAACACTTCTGGTACATTATTGTAATTGGTGAGAAAACATAATGTTCTAAAAGTTAAAAAGAGATGCTCCAACATCAGAAAAAAAGGTCAAAAGGGAAGAGAAGTTGAAATGTTTCCGGGAGGACATAAAACATTGGTTCAAACGGCCGAAGATGATTATTTTGAAAAGGTAAAAAAAATATATATAAAGAAATATAGTTTTATACATTTAAATAGGTATACGAGAATAACAAATTATTTTCTGAAAGAAATTTAGTAAAATTGTTCTCAGGTGACTCCCTGATTAGGATTAATATTATTTATCAATCAACGATGCAAAACAAAGAGTATTTAGCAATAGGACCGAGAACCATAATAATAAATTGTAGGTAATTTAAGCCGGTTACATCGCGCTCAATCAAAATAATTGCCACATTTGTGTTTTTCGCAGCTAAGTTGTTGTTGCTTGCAATCGGAAAGGAGGTATTGATTTTTGTTTTAAATGTACGTATAATTATTATTATTATTTATTAATAGGTAATAGCTGTAGGGCTTAGGAACAAAACAGGTTGTCAGGGCATGATAAATGGACAGACAGAAATACATACATTATTGTATTGGAAGGCATTTAGAAGAGGTACTAAATACAAGTAGCATGTAAATTTGTTCGAACAACATTTGTGCGTTACTTGACTAATTCTTCTAATTCCTGTTGAAGTGAATCAATCAATGTAATTTAATTTGGCAGTTTGCATCGCTCTTTGTGTAGGACTCATAATTCTTGGGCTCACTGGCAGGTACATCTGAGCTCACAGCTCACTGTGGCATATACATACATATAAGTAGAACAGCGAGCTCATAAATTTGTTGAGCCAATATCGAAGCTACCACAAGACTCACATATGGGGCATAAAGCCAAGTATGTGTGTGTGTGTGTGTGTGTATTACTAGCCCCTCCCCCTCCCTCTGCCTTCCGCTTCACAATTCCGACACAGCTGGGGCATTTGGCAGCTGGGTTCGCATGCGTCACGCTTATCGTCGTCGGCTTAATAATTTGCAGCGTCATTATTTGAAAAGCGTTGCGCTGCCTTAGCAACTTGGACTCTGCTACCAAACAAGTAGATAATGATGCCTTCTCCTCGTCCACCACTATCGCACTTTGTCTCTCTTTAGTCCAGCAACTTAATTTGTTTACTTAGTCGCTACTGTTGCTGCTACTGCTGCTGCTGCTGCTGCTGCTGCTGCTGCTGCTACCGCTACTGCTACTGCTGCTGTTGCATATTTAAGCGTTCATGCCAGCTCTCGCCTTTGTAGCTGTTAATTTGCATGCACCGAACTCGGAAATTCAATAAAGTAACACCCTAAAAGCTGAAGCCAGCACAAATTGCCGTCTACGTGCCGCCTCCTTAAAGGATTCCATGCCCATGCTTGCTGTTGTTGGTCCTAGTCGCTGCAGTCGCTGCTCATAGATTATGCTGTTCGTGTCAATTATTTGTGACACGCCTAATGGGTGGCTATTGTTTCATTTTTTTGGGGCGAGTCTATAGAGTGAGTGCTGCTCTTAAATCAATCACGCCCGACTTGGACTGAAACAAGCAAGTGAGAAATTAAATTAAAAGGCAAAAAGTTTTAAAATGTGCTCGCCCAAGAGCGCCCCAGAATGCAATTTGCATTCATAGGGCACGTGCAGCGAGCTCGAACTAAGGCTCTACTCTTGGTTTAGTGTGTGCTTTTTGATATAAAATTGAATTGTCAAACTTCTGCTTATACTACTTACTTGTATTAGCATGTGACACTTGCGTGCAATTCTTGTAGAAAGTGTATTTTAATAAGGTTATTTTTTAATATTGCCTTTGCCAGCTTTATAGCTTTCATCAAGATTGTAATATAATTTATTTGTACACCACACTCAACTTAAATTAACTTAAGTTCAAGTTCACGTTTTTTTTAAAGAGCGGATTCTGAGTGCGCCTTTTCATACATTTGGAGAACTGAATGAGATAACGTGGAGTAATCTGGCATGTTCGATAATTCTATGATTAAAATGTACCCACGAGTCGAGCCCAGTCCTTTGGCGTGTTTGCTTATATGTATTCCACAATTGATAATGCACATCATTAAATCATTAGAGCGATTAATAATTAGACAATTTGTTCGACCAATTGTGGGGAATTTGTTACGAATAAAGGTACAACAACCACAAGCGCTGAAATCCACACCCTCCGGGCTCTCATTTCCCTAATTCGCAGTAATTTCGATTTGGCGAAAACTGAATTTAATTACCGCACATTTGAAATAATTCGCATTTACGACGAGCATGAAGCGTACAAATTTAATCACGCACTTCATGGAATTAAATTATTATTTGATTATATGTATGTACATACATACATACATACATACATACATATGTACGTGTATGTACTGGTATGTGGCACGCGTTTAACTTTCTTTCTATTGTGCGTGGCAATGTAAAAATACATTTCAACAATGTAGAGCTGCTGCGTCAAGAAGCAAAGGCACAAATATTACTACATTGGAACATATTTATGTGCGTCTGTGTACATATTAACAAAAAAAAAAGGACATTTGTGACAAGTCTCATTAAGCGAACGATCGCAACGAACATGGCAATAAAAATCTGTATCTGTATAAAAAATGAATTTGCATAAAAGAAGCGCTGGCTTAAGGAGAACATGAAGCAAGAATTAACTGGAACTAGTACTTCAGAAGCTTGTGCTATGTTTAATTGTAGCTTAAGCCTAGTCGAAGGACGCATGAACACAGACACGAATAGACCTGCCTACACAGGCAGTGAAACACAGAGCAGAAGGAAATGCAAAGGCTGCGTATTTATGTACGTACATATGTTTGTACGTATGTATGTAAGTACGAGTGTGTACATAACATTCACAGTTACTTTGTTTCAAGTCTCACCGTTGTTTTTGCTGTTTTTGCTGTTTTTGCTACAAAGCCACAACAACAAACATTTTACTTATATTTTCTTTGTGGCTGAAGTGCTAATTAAAGCTGCCTTTTTTATTAGCTA